GTGATCATAAATAAATTTTAGTCATTCTCTTGCAATAAGTTTCCCAACAGGAGTTTTTGGAAGGGAACCTAATCTATTATAAAACAAACAAATAGTATGAGGAGCGACTGAGGGAGTTGGGACTGTTTAGTGTGAGGAAGAGGAGGCTGAGGGGAGACCTCATCACTCTCTACAACTACGTGAAAGGACACTGTAGAGAGGTTGGTGCTGGTCTCTTCTCACAGGTAATTAGTGACAGACGAGAGGGAATGGCTTCAAGCTCCAACAGGGTAGGTTTAGACTGAACATTAGGAAAGAATTTTTCACCGAAAGAGTGATAGGGCATTGGAACAGGCTGCCCAGGGAGGGGGTGGAGTCACCATCCCTGGCTGTGTTTAAGGGCCGTTTAGATGCAGTGCTAAGGGACGTGGTGTAGGGGAGGACTTTGTAGAGTAGGGTAGATGGTTAGACTCGATGATCCCAAGGGTCTCTTCCAACTTAGATGATTCTATGATTCTAAGCTTTGAAAGGCCAAATCCAGGAACAAGGGAAACAAGAGCCCAACAGGGACCGAATTCAAGATCACTTCATTTGGTTTTCAGGAATCTGTATGATACATATATACACACACATATACCTACAAATGCACATACACGGCACTCAAAACTTCTTAGCTCAATTTAATTGACTCACTTTATGTTAATGTTGTCCAGTTAGGCCTCAAAAACCCCACTCAGACTGTGTAAGTCCTCTGCCTTGCTACCATGCCCAAGGTGGGGTCTACAACAGAACCATGCCCAAACTGGCATCCACAACAGAGACAATTCTCAGCAGACCAAAGCCGTGCACAGGAGTTTGCCACTGCCCTCCCCTCTGTGTGAAACACCATCACCTGAAACTGGGTATATCCAGAGAGAAATGCTGGAGCCTACCAAGGCAGCTGACAATTACACATTAGCACTTTAAACGAGTTTCCTTAGTTCTCCTCAAGTGTAAACATGTGTTTGGAAAAAACAGCATACATGTTTGAGGGGGAAGACACCACCACATTTGCATGCTTCAGAGAATCAACACCTCCCTTCAGAGTAAGTCTGGGGTGTTTTCCTGTGCCTCCATCTCTGCTCTCCTCAAGCATCCCTCCTACAGTCATGGGAGAGCCAGAATTTCAGGTGCACAGCGCGAGCCACCTCCTGCCCTCTGCTATGTATACATACACATCCCAAACATCAGTGGGAGCCTCATTTATATGTGCATGCATACATCTGTATCATTTACAGAGGTAAACTGCCAGTAAATCAAGTGCAAGTGAAGGATCCACTCCCTACAGAGATGTTCAAATACAAGTCTGGAGAACACTCCCCTTAAAAAGGCTACTGAAGACACTCTGCAACTATCTGGAGGAATTCTTGTTCATCATCCTTTTACGTTTTGCAAGGTCAAAAATTTAGAGACCTTCAAACCGCTAGCATGGTGAACAACACGCACTAAACCTTTAATCTTCTTCAATTGTCTAGCTACTTTTCATTCCATGAAGAAACAAATAATCAGATTCCAAGCATGCTATTCTGCACTGATTAGTGAAAGACAGAAAATGAGAAAGAAACTTTGCCAAGCTAATAATACTATGCTCTTTTTCTAGACATATTTGCAAAAATATCAGTGTGATTTCTTGAGTTTCGGCTACTTTGGACAGACTTCTGTTTCTCTCTAACACTGGTGAACTGTGCAAATGCCAGCTCCAGAAATACCTATTCTGAACAGTACTCATCCCTATTTCACAAGTTTGTGATGGAAGGAAGTGTATGTTTAATACATATTTAACTTACATACAGATTGACTCCTGCACCTTCCAAAAAAAAAAAAAAAAAAGTTTGCTTCTGCCCCAATTTTGTGCATGTCTTTCTGCAGCAGTTTGGTCTTAGTTTTTTTTCTTCTACAAAGAATTAAAGGGAAAATAAAGTCCACAGTTAGGCAACTCTGAAATAGCACTCAGTTTGAGAATTGTTCAACTTGTTTTATTCATCCAGCTTAAAATCATGTTGTAGAAACTTTGAAAACTGTATTTGGCAATGATCTTCAAGAGAGGATAAGACATAGGATTACTGTTATTTAGTTGGAGTGCAACGTTCTGTAAATACAAAGCTTGTGTATATTGCAATGAGTATCTTAAGTGTGGTTGAAGAGTTTACAAGCACAAAAATCAACAAGTACAGCATTTAGCTCTTAAATAGCATGCAAAAAAATGAACAGTTTTGGGGCGAGGCAGCAGGTTCACAGTTAATAAAAAAAACCACCACCAAAAAACCACCCATAAGTAGAAACCACCCATAAGTAGTTTAGATCCTGATTGCATTTCATCTCCTTTATCTCCTCCGAAGATTGGGAAGATTGCAAGAAGCCAGACAGATTGCAAAGCCGTATCTGAGAAGAACTCTGAGCTGCAGACTCAGCTGCACAGCTCATGGCCACAACCTCATATAAAGCCTTCAAGTCACATCTTTTTTCTAAACGATGCCTACTAGCAACCTTGGCTCTGTTTAGAGAACTGCAATTGCAAAAATCCACTTAGCTCATTTTGTGATCCTGCTTTAACAAGTAAGATTTCTACTCCAGGCTGATCTACTTCCACCAGTCCCCAGGCAACTCCACAGAGGAGAGCACTGGGCACCACTTTCAGGATTTAGCCTGCTAACTCCTGTTTGCCTACTTCACTACTAAAAATGGTAACTGGCATAAGATGTAAGAAAGACAGAAACTTGAAATCACCAGTTACACCAAAGGAAAATGGAGGTATGTATACTGCAGCCTAATCTCTCTGCATTGCCAGCATTTCTGAGAACTCTTTATCTGTAAGTGGGGCTGTCAGAGCACACCATGGCAACGATCAGGGAGCCTGCAATCTTCTGGCAAAGTGTCTCCTCTCCTTCACATTGCATAGATAGGCTTTCAGAGCAGACTGTGATTCACGGGTGAGGAATGTTTGGTAGATATCCCCGCAGAGCCTGCAGACTGCGGTTACTGCCTTCATTTGCAGCAATCTGAAGATTCATGTTTCTCTCCTTGAATCAGTGATGACACAGTAAAGTGCAGCTCTGGGCATGGTCCAGGTCCATAAGGAACATCTACAAGTATTTCACAGAATATCTATACACACACTGTTCACATACAGACATTCTGTATTGATTTGCAATTTGATAGCATGTGCATCATAGATAGGTCCATTAATTTCTGCAAATACTTGCACCATGCCATTAAAAATTAATCTTTCTTCTCAAAGAGCAGTAATACCATACTTTCAACACTGCAGAAGGTGTTGATTAGCCTCCTGTTTGGCAACTTTGTAAAGCATTGCACAGATTGCATTTTATGTACCAACCGATTTCCATGAGTCTTCTCACCACACGTAAAAATGAATCACGTTGCTTAAGAGCTTTGCAGAACCAGGCCTTATAATGTCACACTTGAGAAAGGAGGACTTCATTTTTATATTTCACATGGGTCTTAAAACTGCTTTTTTTTTGTTGCATGTATTTCCTTAAACTAACCATGGAAATTTGGACCAGGGGCTGTATACGTAGGTGAGGTGCATGTGGAATATCTCCTAAAATTTGTTAATCATCAGCCACTTTTTCATTCCTTCCCTTTCCTGTCTGTTTTCATCACAAAGACGCTCAATGACATATGTTCAAGGCCTTTTTAAAAGAACAAAAGGGAGGAAGGAAGCATAGGTCAAAAAGGGAAATGAAGGGAAAAAGGAAAGGGAAAAAAACAGAGGCTGTCAGGAAAACAGTCGAAATAGCTGGAATAGCACTCTTCATTTTCTAGAGAAAACTGCAGTAAGGACTTTTATTACCGTACAAAAAAATAATAGTCAATGGGAACTTACTAAAAATTCATAAATACAAACAGAGGTTTCTATATGTTGCCCTTCTCCCTGGTGCTTTTAAGGAGCTTCAATGCAATGATGCAAATAAGGAGAAAGAGACTTTCGGCACTGCCTATCTACTGAATCCATAAAATAACACTTCAGTGATACTTAATTAAAATGTCCTCCACAGCTTCGTGCCCAGTTACCCCCCAGCATGACCTTCTCCTCTCTTCTACCTCAAGTAACTTAAAACTTACCCTTCTTTGGGCAAATTTAGCCATCATTTGGCAGTAAGTGAATTGCTCTGAAACAAAGCTATTAAAAATATTCTGTGATAGCTAGATGAAACAAGTGGCATGAACTACAGTATTTTGTACAGTTTTATCAACAAGATTTGTACCAACATTCAGTGGTTCTCTCTATCAAAATATGGTATTGCATCCTCTGCTGAAGAGATCATTTCCTGTCCTTTCCACAGCCAAGCTGATGATCTTCAGTAACTACCACATAGCAATTGTGCTTGCAAAAAAAGGAGTTACAGGAAAGTATTTAAATCCATCATCCATCCATTTTCTTTTTGCTGTTGTTTAGCAAGTAGAATAGTGCAGGATTTTCTTTTTGCTGTTGTTTAGCAAGTAGAGCCACTGCTAGGTGACAGAGACAGATCCCCAGATCTCCAAGCAGCACTTTCCAGAGAATGGTTCAGGAGCTGCTGTTGAAACACGTGGCCAGCCCTGGTCTCTTACAGCATGCACCAGGCAGCAAACTGAGGAGCCTGCTATACATGTAAATGATTTTAACCTTGCAAAACCCTGTTTAATAAAGCAGATAGTTTTTGTGACCCTGGAATGAACAAAGCCTACTGTCCTCATCTTAAGCCTGACTGATGCTGGTATCTAAATAGATTGATTGAGACAGACTGTAAAACAGGGTGCATTTTGGATCACTCTTACATGCTGTGCGTTTCCACAAAACTTGCAGAGCAAGAATTTGTCAAAATCAGTTGGTAACAACCATAATTTCCAAAAGTATATTAAAGGGAGGGTTAAATGAGTAGACACATTACATGTAATGGCAGAAAGTTTGCTTCTGCAGAAAAACAAGTTTAAAAGATTCTAGGCTATGAAACCCAAACCTGAGCTTCTCCACTTACCTTAGTGTTCATACAAGATTTTCCACGTTTATACTCTTTGTGACTTGCTCTTTTATCAAGCTTGTTCCACAAAGCTTTGGCCTTCCACGTGGTCACTCTTGACTTGAGTTTGGTGTAAAAGTTTCTATTGTCCAAAGGATCTAATTCAAGTTGACGAGTGAGAATATTAAAGGCCTGAATGGTGCCTTTGCATGTTGACGCTTGTACAAAGTTTTCAAATATCTGGCCAGCTTGACTGTATTTTTCATCATCGTTTTCCCCCATGTTCTATTAGAAGTGTTTGGAAAGGATTAAGCTGGAGCTCTTGTGCTGGGGTCCAGGTGATCGATACTACCAAGTACTTCCAAGCATGATATTCCTAGAAAAGACAAACAGAGGTCATGTTAAAGCAGATTCTGTCTAACCAAATTAAACCCACAAACTGCATATCCAATCTGAACACAGCAAGTGGTGACTGGATAACCAGGTACAAAAAGTTAATAGGGGCACCCAAGATAAGCGTTACAAGTAAATGTAACATACTTGTGCTGTCATGACACGTTCCTCACAAAGACTGTCATAAAACCCCTACAAACTCAAGCCAACTGTTTCAAAAACAATCAGCTTCACTGACAGCCTGAGGATTTCTTCATTTTTTGTTCAGTGATAGCTGCTAGGTAACAGATGAAGAAAAACCGAATGTCCAGATGTTTTCCCAAGCAGAATTTATGTCACAGCATCTGGTGACACTTTGGTCCTAAGAATTCTTAGAAACCGGAAGCTCAAAGTCAACACTATTTGAGGGAATCTTCTTCCACTGCACAAGCCAGGGCCGAGAGCACAGTTTAGCCCGAGCAATTTAGAACTGGCACGATCTCTTGCCATGAGCAAATGTACAAAGTAGGTGAAGCAGAAACATTTTCACAAGTTACACCAGAACTGAAGAAACAGAAAACAAGTAACTACAGAGTGCTCCCCTTTTTCTAATTCTCTTGCCAAAACGCAAAAGGGTTGAGAGCTCTAGTGGATAGAAAGGAATTTTATCTTCACGTCTCCACATGTTAAATGCTAAAGTTATGTGTTTGGAGTCTTACCTTGTCATGTGCTGATGATATAAAGTAATGATGTTTGGCCCACTGAGCCCCATCGGCTTTTCCTAGTAACATGATCACTGTCAAACTGTGCCTGATACTCCAGATAAATACCCTTACATTCTGTAAGAGCAATGCTATTCTAAATTAACATAAGTTTGCAAGAACTAAAATACTTTCACAATAAGGCACGCCCTTATCCTTCTTTAACCTTTCTGTCAATCTCTAATGGGGAGCGTCTTAGAGTCAGCCAAGGTGCACAGAAAATATCCAAGTGACTTTCACATTTTCCAAGAAAATTGTTACGTATAAACATCCTCAGAAGAGGGTCTACTTGGACTCAAGTCCAGAGATTTAAGTCATGTATTCTTTTTCTTGTTATTAAAGAATTATCTACCAGTCCAAGAAATCAAAAACTAAATCAATGCTTGCCTAACCTCCCACATAATTAGTTATTTTGCTTGGAACATCATCTGTTGGCTGATAGTTTTTGAATAAATTGTTAAAAAGGCCTTTGAAGTTACGCTTTTTAATTTAACACTGTTCTCAAACTATTCATTCTCTGCTTACACTTCCTTCAAAGAAGGAAAGAGAAAACATAACCAGTGCATTTAAGTAAAGAAGAGACCTACCATGTCTATCTTAGAATCCTCTAGTACAGAAAAATATTATGCAACTTATTAAAAAGATCCCATGGGGAGATATAAGGAAGCATTTGAAATACTCACATTCCCCGGCTGTGCTCAAAATAAATAACCTTTGTGTGCACATCATCAGTCTGTTGTTGGTTTGTGGGTAAAATAAATTGGCAATGTTGAGAGCTTGTACATTTTCTTAGACCAAAAGTCATGATTAAATACTTGGTGCCGGGAATAAGCCAGAAAATTTTTGTTTTCCCCTCTGAATACTTCATTTATAGCATGCTCCATGCCCTTTTCAGAAGAGCTTTGAGGTAAAAGCACATTTTATATGCCCCAACTTTCAGAAGGTCTAATTTTTCAAGAAACTGAGTGCCATGAACTCCCATTGACTCAAAAGGAGCTGAGGACAATCCAGCACTTTCCAGGTTCAAGTCCTTAATGATTAATGAGCAAACCCCTCCAACAATGACATGCCAGCAGGAGAGAGCCCAGCCACCTTGAAAAAAAAGAATTAAAAATAAGGATAAACAGTTATTTTACCCAACTCCCATACCTGCCTGAGATTTTTTTTACAATAGAAAAGCCAAAGTATTTTTCTTTTCTCTCGAAATAATTAGGAATAGTTTCTTGGGGAGTGGGGAAGTTTCAGTGAAACATTCCACTTTGGACATCTCAGCTAAGGCAGTGGCAGCCAGGTCAGGTTTACCTTAGTCACCATAAACTCACGTCGCTATTGCCTCAATGCTACCACAGACTTTGACCAACCTAATAGCTATAAAACAGCACTTCCCCTCCATTGTTTTCTTTAGCTCACCACAAAAGATCTTTAAAAGTTAACTCAAGCATAATTGATAAGCGAGTGTGATCACAAGCTCTTTAATTTAGTATATTTTTTGCTCACAGAGAGGAGATTTTTATAGCTTCAGCTGTTTCTATCCAGCAAGGAAGATAAAAGCTCAAAGAGTAGAGCCATATCTGAACCAACCAAGGAAGAAAAGCAGCATGTTCCAAGGCCAGTAATGATGAGAAGACAGAAGAGATGGCTGACAGGAGCCACTGCAGGCAAAGGGAGGGGAAGAACTGTCTGATGCAAAGCAGTGGAAATAGGTGTTGCACACGCGTGTGCACATGAAGACACAGAGCAGGCCTGGGCTTCCTCCACCTTTCCACTGAGGAGGAGAGCAGCTGGCAAGGACAGCCAGGACACCTTCCCCAGCATTAAAACCTCCCTCCTCCAAACCACAAAGCCAGGACTGAGGCTACTCTTTTTGGGCACTAAATTTTCTCCTCATGAACTTCCAAAGCACTCCCATCTTCTCCACACTGAAAAGTTGTGGAGTGGCATCACAGTAGAGGCATTTCCTCCCAAGTGAAGCATTTCTCCTTGCTGGGTCAGAGGTCATGTTCT